GGGAGACACCTCCTGGCCTCACGGACACGCCTCCCGCAGCCCCCGCCTCTGGCCACCGGTGCCCCGCGCCAGCGCAGAGGCGCGGGGCCGCGGCCGCCGCGGCGGCCGCCGCGGCACAGCACGCCGCCGAGAGGGCGGCCGCGGCGCAGGGCGACGTCCTGCACAAAAATCCTCCTCCTCCCGGGCTCCTGCCTCCTCCTCTCCACACCATCCTCCTACTCCTCCATCCTCCTCTCCCTTCCTCCTCCTCCTCCTCATCCTCGCTCTTGACCATTTCTGAACAGTTCTGCTGTAGAGGGACACGCCCGACTGGATCCTCGACCCTCCCTCCCTGCTTCCCCACGGCCCCGCGGCCATGCGAGGGCCCCCCGAGGCCAAGCGCGCGGCCAAAAACCGCCCGCCGTTTGTTAGTTCTCGTTTCGGGGGGAACGAAGGGGGGGATAGCAAAGGGTGGGGCAGAGAATCAGCTCTTGATTTTCACAGCGCCTCCCGGCGACGGGAGGCGCCCATGTATCGAGGAATGGGCCCGGCGGCGGGGCCTAAACCAGCTGCATGCTTCAGATTTCGTAAACCCCCCTCTCCCTATCCCCCCTTTCTTTCCAAGATCTGCCAACTTCGAACCCAGACCCCCTCGGGCAATGAAAAGCCATGACGGGAGGTTTTTTGCTGTCCATTTTCGGCCGCGGGGGGTCCCTACCAGTTCTCAGGACCGTCAGTGAACGACTCAGAATGGAAACCAGTCTCGGGAGATGGGTCGAGACCTCGGGGGGTCGACGCCATGAAAAAATCAGAACGTCGGGCTTCTAGGAATCGGGAAATCGGCTCGAAGCTGACTGTGCGTCGGATCGGGCCGCACCAGCACGGAAGCGACATCGAATGTGGTCGACTGCGCCGCCAGGCGAGGATCGGTCCGAATTTGATCGTCGCAGTGTCAAAGAGAACTCGTTTCGTGGACATTTATCTGGAAATGACGCTTCTTGACACGTTGGAATCGGAAGGGACCCCCCTCCCAGAACATCGAGCGCCCCTGGAGAAACGGGGGGGGGGGCTGGAAACGGGCCTCTCTAATCGGGGCCTCCCCGCCTCACGGGGAGGGTCCAACCCGGGAGCGCCCCCCCCTTGTCCAGGGGGGGGTGCGACCC